TGGGGGACCTTGTCGAAGGCCTTACTGAAATCCAGGTACGCTACATCCACGGCATTCCCCGCATCTACCCAGCTTGTATCTCTATCGAAGAAAGAGATCAGATTAGTCTGGCATGACTTGTTTTTGATAAATCCATGTTGACTATTAGCGATGACTGCATTTGTTTCTAAGTGTTTGCAGACCGCTTCCTTAACAATCTTTTCCAGAATCTTGCCCGGTATCGACGTGAGGCTGACCGGACGGTAGTTGTTTGGGTCATCCTTTTTTCCCTTCTTGAAGATTGGGACCACATTGGCCCTCCTCCAATCTGCTTGAACTTCTCCCGTTCTCCAAGAACTCTCAAAGATGGTTGCCAATGGTTCCGAAATGACTTCCGCTAGTTCCTTCAATACTCTGGGGTGTAGTTGATCTGGCCCTGGGGACTTGAACTCATTAAGAGCGGCCAGGTATTCCTGGACGACTTCTTTCCCAATTTGGGGTTGGATGTCCTCCACTCCCTCATCCACTCCATCTTGCTGAGGTTGAAGACTCTCTTTTTGTGAGAAGACCGAGGCAAAGAAGGCATTAAGTAGTTCTGCCTTTTCCCTATCCCCTGACCAGCAACAATAGCTTAGATTGACCCCATTCTTCTTGCTAGTTGTGAAGATGTCCCATTCTGACAATAATTGACATGAGTTTGATGGTCAAGTGCTCACAGTGAGCTCCGTGGATTACAAGGAGCAATAGTGACATGGGGACAAGCCATCTCTCCCCCCTGGACTGATCATTGCAGGGAAAGTACGATAGTAAAACTCTTTGTCTGAACAGTAGATCGGGAAGTAATGAACTTGATCAAGCTGTCTAGTCTGCCACTAAGCCTTTACACTCCTTTACACTCTGATGTATTCCTCATCCTTGTTCAAAGTGTGCAAAAACAGGTTAAGGTCAGAACACCCAGGATACTTTGCTGTGCGTTGTAGGGACAACCAGCCATGAATATGAGGTATGGGCTTTTTCTTGTCTATGTAGACAGGCTCTACCCTATGTTCATAGGAGCAGTGAATGCCTGTATTATCTTCTAGTGCTTTCAGTGGGCTTTTGTCACAGAGCACTACATTAAACTGCATTTGGATCAGTATATTTAGGATCCGGTCATCAGTGTTCTATGATGATTTAAATGTTCCATCTGTTTCAGTGTATTCTTACATACAGTGTCCACAGTAGTATTTGAGGCATTTGCCATTGCTACTTCAATAAATGTTTAAATAATTCTTCATCTGATAAGTAGCAAATTTTTAACAAATTAAGTCTATTCTACATGCTACTTTATTTTTTATTGCAATTCTGTTTTTGTTCATATTACTTGTGATGCAGTCTTGTACATTTCACCAAATCTGGCCCATTTCATTTTTTAACATACATTTCTGAGTTTTTTTGTTCTTGTTTATTCATTCAGTTGCTTTCGATTCTTTGTGAACTCATGGACCAGCCCACGGCAGAGCTCCCTGTCAGCCATCACCACCCAGCTCCTTCAAGATCAAGCCAGTCACTTCAAGGATAACATCCATCCATCTTGCCCTTGGTTGGCCCCTCTTCCTTTTTCCTTCCATTTTCCCCAGCATCATTATCTTCTCCAAGTTTTCCTGTCTTCTCATTATGTGGCCGAAGTATTTCATCTTTGCCTCCAATATCCTTCCCTCCAGTGGGCAGCCAGGCATTATTTCCTTGAATATGGACCGTTTGGATCTTCTTGTGGTCCAAGGCACTCTCAGAATTTTCCTCCAACACCACACTTCAAAAGCATCTGTCTGCCTTTGCTTAGCCTTCCTTATGGTCCAGCTCTCACATCCATGTTATTACAGGGAATACCATTGCTTTAACTATGCCAACCTTCGTTGCCAGTATGATGTCTCTGCTCTTAACTATTTTATCGAGATTAGTCTCCTCCCTGAGTTAACTCTACCATTATTCAGAGAAAGGTGTCCTCCTTAGAGTTTTTGGTTTTCATGAAATGATAGTGAACAATAACAACAAATTAAATAACTATTTTATACTAAAACAAAATAAAATAATCCCTTGTAATATCTTTGAAATTAACTATGGAATTGGAAATGTCTTAAGCTTTCATGGAGTTTAGTTCATGTTTTGATATAACTATTTATGTGTCAAATGCAAAAGACTACTTCCTATTCTCATTTAGGGCTCATCCACAGACACCACTGTTCCTGGAAGTAGCCATATATTCCATATCTGTCCCATAGTAATGGTGGGCCAAAGGCCAGTTGGTCTTGCCAGACTGAAACCAGTCTGGTCCTGCAGGACAGTCACCATTGCTGGATGGTCACATAGCTCTCAGAGAGCTCCTTACTATTGCTGGGAACCTTTGATTTTGTTTGATTTTCTGCTTCAAGTACCAAAATAACTTGATTATGGATACTTAATATGCCTTGAACTGGGTGTGTATGAGAGATATAAGCAAATATGTGTGCCATTTGCTGTTCTGGCTAATTCAAGTAAAATACTTTGAGCCAGCCCTGACAGTTTCCTTTCCTTTCAGGTTTTCTTAGATAACTGGACTTGTGAAAGCAGTTTAGATATTCCTGTTGATTCAAGCATTAAAAACATCATTACCAGAAAAAAAATACAGTTTATTCAAATGCAATTGTGTCTCTGGGATAAATTCATGGTATAAATTCCTATCTTGGGCACAACTACAGAAATTGTCAACTTCATAATCTGAAAATTCTTTAAAATCTGCCATGTGTTCATAATATGGTATATCAGGAAACAAACACAAAACCTCCTGCTTTGTGGTGTTCTACCAACACAGCCACAGACAATTGGAGTGGAATTAATGTGATTTATCAAATGCTGTTGGACTATGGCTCCCAGCAGTCCCCATGAATACAGCTAATAAAATGAAATGGAATTCAGAAGGGCCACATTGCTCTATTTCCATTTTCTGTACTAATGATGACCTTTTTATGCATCTCGCCCACCAAATGTTTCTTTTAAATTAACAAAAATATAAGGAACTAATTCATTCAAGCCACAAGTACAGAAAGGAACTTGTTTAATGGCTGGTGCTATTTTAAACGAACAGAAAACCTCAGTGCAAATACACTGATAGATTAATGCAGGAATATTTTACAGTCAGTCTTATTATGCACACCAGCACCAGAGAGTTCATAAGCACCAAAATTTCCTTTACACATTTGGAATTTTTGAAAAGGTGAATGCAAGTCTGATCACCCACTAAATTCTTCTACAGTGAAACCACAGAAATGCTATTTCTCTGTGCACATACATGACCTCAGCGGATGGGGAAAGGAAAAAAAAAGTGCCAGAAATGCACACTTGACACTACGTTGGCCATGTAAATAATCATATGCTGGATTTTGTCAAAACAACAACATTTGTATGCATAATTTTAAACTATAAAAGAGGCTTCTTTTTTCAGAATTGTGCCTATTACATTTATCCTGATTCCTAACATGAAAGTGAAAATCCTCAAATAAAAACATGCTGGGTATTTTTACCTGAGAGAACATCTCTCTTGGAATTTCTAGGTCTAGGCCTTCCACAGGAAACTGACTACAGAATAATATTGGAGAACCTAGACATTCCTGGATGCATTCCCTCTAGAAATCTCTAAGGCCCTTTCTACACTGCCATATAATCCAGATTATCAAAGCAGATAATCCGCATTATCTGCTTTGAATTTGATTATCTGAGTCTACATTACCATGTTTATTTATTTTTTATTTACAGTATTTATATTCCGCCCTTCTCACCCCGCAGGGGACTCAGGGCGGATTACAATGTACACATATATGGCAAACATTCAATGCCAATTTTGACATACAACATATACAGACATACACAGAGGCTATTTAACTTTTTCTGGCCGCCAGGGGAGCTGTCGCTTTCATCGTCCATCTGCGACACTGATGAAGTACTTCCACATTCCCCGCATGCTTTTGCTGGAGTGCATTGCTGGAGTCTTTTTATGGCCTCGTAAATTTTGTTAAATTAGCCTCCCCACACATAGGTGGTACCTAAATTTCCTACTTGACAGATGCAACTGTCTTTCGGGTTGCAAAGGTCGACAACAAGCTACACAATTGGTCAGAAGCTCACTCCACGGGCTGGCTTTGAACTCATGACCTTTTGGTCAGAAGTGATCTTAATGCAGCTGACACTCAGCCAGCTGCTCCACAATCCCGGTTCAAAGCAGATAATCTGCATTTTATATTGCAGTGTAAAAAGGTAAAGATAAACGTATTCCCTTTGACATTAAGTCTAATCATGCCTGACTCTGGGAGGTGGTGCTCATCTCCATTTCTAAGACAAAGAGCCGGTGTTGTCCATAGACACATCCAAGGTCATGTGGCCAGCATGACTGCATGGAGCATTGTTACCTTTCCGCTGAAGCGGTGGTACTTATCTACTCACATTTGCATGTTTTTGAACTGCTAAGTTGGTAGAAGCTGGGCCTAACAGCAGGAGCTCACCCCACCCCCCGGATTTGAACTGCCAACCTTTCAGTCAGCAAGTTCAGCAGCTCAGCAGTTTAACCTGCTGTGCCACCAGGGGGTCCTTATATGGCAGTGTAGAAGGGGCTTAAGTTCTCCTAAATGACTGGAGGAAGTTGACCATGGGGTCACAGTGGAGGATCTAGAGATTCCTTGAGATAGTATTTCGTAAATGTGGAGGGACAACTGTATTTAAAAAAGTATCTCCCCCTGTTTCTGAACCAGACCTATGAATTCCGTTTTATGACATAATCTTCTAATGCACACTTTACTTTAATAGGGACACTGGAGACAATTGTAAAGTGAGTTGTGTCTTCATTCCACCTAGTTCAGTATTTTCTACACTGCAGAGATTCTGAATTGGAAGTTTCCCAGTCATTTCTTGAGATAACTGAACCTGGAATCGTTTGCACACAAATATGTGCTTTGCTGCTGAACTATAGGCCTTCCCCTTCCTTGGAATGGTTTTCAATGCCAAGCTTAACATGTATTTAATCATGTATTTGATAACACTCAGAGGTTTTATTTTCCAGGTAAACATTCTTATTGCTCAAACTAATAGCTTATCCAAGAGGTGGAATACAAGATTAGTCATGTACCAAGCTTTGAATGTTTACTTATTAAAAATAAGAAGGAAACTGAGAGTTTTCACACCCTGCAGCTCCATCTCAGAACAGTGAAAGGACACGTTTATGAAGACAGGTTTACCATGCACATTACAAGCTGACAGCCAAATCTCTTATTGCGAGATACAGTTCACTCTACTGAATTCAGTAGAACTTGTTTATATGAAAATGCACTGGTGATGGCAGCATTCAAGTAGTGCTTTAAAAGCAATCATAAATGTGCTAAGACTGCAGCCAAATAGTGTGATTTTTAAAAAACGTTTCTTTAATTAGTACCCCACCCCCTACCCCACATTCCTATCCTGGCATTATCGCAAACTGTTTTTAAAATGCTCCCAATTTTAAAAGCAGTTTGTATTTCCATTTTAAAATGAAGCCCCCTCCCCTTCCCCCACACACACTCCGTCACATGGGACAATATGCATTGATCTTTCATTCTTTCCCATGTCAGAAGAATAGAAAAAAAGTGTCCTCCCTGTACCACCCATGCTTTCCCTTTGATTTGTCAGTTTTCTTTTCTTTACATGTTAGGTATTCTCTGTGGATGTGGAGGAAAAAATGTGATGACCACAAAACAATTGTTTACAGTCACATCTCTGAGGAAGACCTGAGGACTGATCATTGTAGAATTGCTACAGTTTTCCTTTGAGAATTTTTCTTCTCATTTCTCCATTTTCTTTCTTAATGGTCTGTTGAAAAATCCAGCCTGCAAAAAGAACGAGGAGGAAATCAGTTCAGCTTCTAAAATGTATAGGAACAAAGAGAATCTGTGTCATTACATTAAGCGTGAATCCCTTTAGGCTGCCAACCAGCCATGCTATATCTCCAAATCCTCAATTCCATTTAATCTTCGATCCATTTTTTAATTTGTTCTCTCAATGATCTGCAAAGGTTTGGGGGTTGGTGAACATGCCTAGTCCTCAGATGGACTACTTCAGAGAACTTTTAAGTGATTATATTTTGTAAAGGTAAAGGTTTCCCCTTGACATTAAGTCTAGTCATGTCCGACTCTGGGGGGTGGTGATCATCTCCATTTCTAAGCAAAAGATCAGGTGTTGTCCATAGACACCTCCAAGGTCATGTGGCCAGCATGACTGCATGGAGTGCCATTACCTTCCCGCAGAAGCGGTACCTATTGATCTACTCACATTTGCATGTTTTTGAACTGCTAGGTTGGCAGGAGCTGGGCCTAACAGTGGGAGCTCACCCAGCTCCTTAGATTTGCACTGCCAACCTTTCAATCAACAAGTTGAGCAGTTCAACGGTTTAACTCACTGTGCCACCAGGAGGCTCATATGATATACATATGTATATGCAAATTTTTGACACACTCATATTTCCCCTTGGCTATTTAAATACGAACATTTGTAAAATGAGCTACTTAATATTACTGTAAGATTTGTTAAGGATAGCTGGGATACTTGAATGACCACCACTGCCTTCTAACACATTGATAGTAGATTCACATATTGCATACACTGTGCTTCTAGTGAGTTAGTGATTTACTTATTTTAGCTTTAACAGGTCTGCCCACTCATGGTGAAGCATTTAATAACACCCAGATGCTAACTACAATGAATGTACCATCAACATGCTATTATTATGCGCTCTGGGCTCTTCAAGACTGATTAAAATGTCCCAGATTTATTTTATCATCCTGGGGATGATAAAATTATTCAACATCCTTGGGAATTGATTCTGGGAGCTGTTAGAAAATAATCTGGTGTAAACAATAGGTATATAGATTTCCATATTAAAATCGGGAAGAAGAGGAATAACATTTGGGACTTTCTGTTTGGTTTACTCAGTCTGAAGCCACAGCCGAGAAAAGGAGTAATGGTTAACCCATGTAGGTCTGGCTACATTTCTCTGATGAGCATGACTAGTAGTGTTAACTGTAATTTCCAAGAGAACAAGTAATTTTGTTGTTGTTGTTGTTTGCTATGTTATATTGGCTTCAACTGATGACAACCTTATAAGGAGAGAGCTCTACATCAAAATTTGAAGACCAGAGGAAGTTCATCTACAAAAAGGGAAAGAAAAATTCTTGGATGCTATCAAATCTTATAAATCATATAACCTATTGTTTCATAGCATACATAATATGTACATTGGTCAGAAAAGGACAAAAGACTTGAATAGGACAAAAAAAGAAATCAGAAATAGAGTGCAAAACACTGTACCTTCCACAATGCAAATATAAGTAGTGTAAGAATCAGAAGTCCAGCGAATATACTCAGCAGAATAACCCATAAGGGCACGTGGCCAGGAGGAAGCTCTCTTGAAATTTTAATACTTGTCTGAAAATTGTTAAAGCAAAAGAAACATTTAAAATAGGGAGATGTCATATAATTCGATCTGCAGTTACTGTTATTTACTGTTATTTATGTTTTAGAAGAAATTAGATCTAGGTGTTATCAGACTACTGAAATAAATGTGACTCAATAATGACTAATTTAAAAAACATTGATTTTAACAGATCTCATAGAATCATAGAATTTTATGAGAGCTATTAAAATCTCTGTGTTTTAAATCAATATGTTAAAATCAATCTGTTTTAAATCTCCTGTGTTATCATTATGTATCTTCAAGATGCCTCTGACTTATAGCTGGACTTTCTTGCCAAGATTGACTCAGAAGATATTAATACTTTCTGTGGATTTGAGCTCTGGTCTACTACAAAACAGATACCACTACATCATGTTGGCTCTTTCAAACTGTAGGATCTTCTATAAGCATCATGACATCTGAATCCAGACCAGTAAATGAGCTAGGTCGATAAAAGCTGCTTAAAAAATTAAAATCATACTAAAGATGGAGTGGGATACATTTCTTAAATGTTCTTCAGGCCTGCATAAGGCAGAACAGATTCATCAATGATTACTTGTTTCAGTGCCAAAATACTACCTTCTCTAACATAAGCTTAATGTCTTCTTCATATGCAACAGATCAAAGGGTCATTTATGCATTTGCAAGAGTATGCACTGTAGTTGCATAGCATATATCTTCCTGTGGTAATTGTAACACATAACGCTGCAAAACTGTCCTGGGACACCAAGTTCACAGCTACAGGCATTTTGCAATGCACACTTATGCATTTTGTGCATCCTTGGGCAAGGTATGTTAACCCACAATGGTGCCATAATTAACTTCATACAAAGCTCCATCTATGTAAGTTTTAACAGAATATGAATATTAAACATCTGACAAAAATGCCTAGCTGTTTATTAATAAAATATGAAGAAAATGGCACCAGTTCAGAACTCTCTAAAAAATATCAACAGGCATCTTTACCATTGGTTTAGCATTCATAGTTATAACCTACCTAAAAAAATACACTAAATCCAACTATATACTGTAGTTGGAACTGAGTCTCCCTTATCTAGAATCCAAAATATTCCAGAACCAATAATCTTTTGCTGCCAGCTGCTCATATCCTTCTTTGGGGAAAGGAGAGCTAGTCAAATGTCCAGGGCTAACTGGGGTTTTCTCAAGGAGCACTAATGAGGGTAAGAAACAGGGGGAAGGAGGTAAATTCTGCTTACATAAGCTTCTGCAAAAAGTAGGCATCCCAGATGCTTTTGTACTTGCTTTCTTCCTGGCCAATAGTAATGTGCAGCAGAGTGGGAGCTTGGGAAATGGACTACAAGGGCAAGCATGGGGTGAGCAACCTTATTGTCCATTGCTTTTATCCAGCCAAGAGAAAATGAAAAAGACTCACTGGGGGCAGGGACAAGTTTTCCCTTTCCTCACCAGCTACTTTGCTAAATTGTCTTGACCATTAGGGGAAAATTGTCCTTGAAACAAAACTCAGCAGGTGCTGGATGTATGCCTAGCCCCCTTCCCCTCATTCCTCATTTACTATGCATATACAAATACAGGTACAGGC